GGTCCGCTTCTCAAAGAGTTCATTTGGCAAGTCGCCAATGTGAAATGCATGAAGGAAAAAAAAAAATGTCCTCACTGAGCTGAAGGTGAAAAGCGGACAGATGCAGGCACTTCTGGAGGATTTTCTTAAGGCAAAATGTGGAACGGTGGGAATCTTGGGCATGTCCGGCATTCACACAAACGTTTTCATCACCCTCCTGAGGATAAGCGGAACAACTATACAGGCAAACTCATGTTCTGACTCCAACCCTATTGAGAACCCGCTTCAAAGGAAAATCGCGATACAGTGAAACTCCTCTACAATGAAATCATGTTTGCAGCAAGAAATTTTTCACAACAGGGGGTTTTTCACTGTAGCAAATTTGATATCAGATGTAAACGCGCACACACACACACACACACAAACGAACGCATGTGTATCGGCGAGTCAGTTTGGTCAATTTTCCCTCTTTCTTTCGTCAAATAATACATCCTAAAATAAAATGAATGTCATGAAATCAATGAATAAACCAATTGTGTAATGCATTCTAATTGTTCATGCATCATTTTTTAACGTACAGTGTTTTGTTCAAATGCTAATTTATCTTACTGCTATAACCACATACCTCGTGCTCATTTTTAAATGTTATTTACAAATGAGTATATATTATATACAGTATCAGCCATGATAGCAATGCAACGTTCTTGCTGCGTCTGAAACTAACAATAAGAAATACTTCCTGGACTACTGCGCATGTGTAAACCAGTGTGGTGGTTGCTGTTGTCGTTTCCGAACAAAGCAGTAGAGGTCGCTGTTGGATTAGACTTCGTTGTAGTGAATCTCGTCGTGAGGCAAGAGCAGAGAAAAAGAATTCGTACAACGCAACAGGGTTTTTTTTCGTCGTATGGGGGGCAGGAAAGTGGGAATGGTGTTAATGCATGAAGATTTTTTTTCACACTAGGGGGGTATTTTCGCCCATGTGGGTTTCGTTGTAGAGGGGTTTCACTGTACTTCCAAACACCAATGGACAAAACATATAAGGGCACCGCCATCCCCTGACCGAGAGATAGCGGCGTACACTATCATCGGACTTCCAAAGTCAAAGAAGAAAACAACGCTCTGTCCTCACTTCCAGAGACCGAGTCGGAAGCCGAGGGGTCTCGCGGCAACGCCCTGACGTGGACGGCCGGCGCCCGTGATACGGAGCCGATGGCGGACGAGAGCCGGCGCGGTGACGCGTTGGCTTTCACGCAGCCCTACCAAAGCTTCAAGGAGTACGCCGGCAACAAGGCGGACACCAGCTCGGCCGTCGTCCCGGCGGCCGTCCTCGCGAGCTACACCGGTCAGTGGGATCGCGCGCTACAAACCTTTTTTTGTTGGCAACTCCAATGGTCAAGTTGGGAGTACAGGCAAGAGTATGATGGCGAAATGCAATTTTCATGCCCGTGGCGTTCGTGTGAGAGGGACCAGGTTTTGAGCTTCTTGTTTTTGACCAACAGGAAGCGGTCCCATTCAGCTGTGGCAGTTAGCGAAATGCCTCAAACCTAAAATTGAAAAAGCATTTTCCTGACTCAAATCAAGAAAAATAAAAATGGTTTTGAAAACAAACAAACAAAAAAAAAAAACCCAAAACAAAACCAAAACTACATCTTCCGTTTTAAGTAACGACAAAAAAATTGTACCGCCGGCCTCCAGGTGGCGCTGCTGTGGGGCCGCCGCAAGCACAAGCCCAAGATGAATTACGAGAAGCTGAGCCGCGGGCTGCGCTACTACTACGACAAGAACATCATCCGCAAGACGGTGGGCAAGCGCTACGTCTACCGCTTTGTCTGCAACCTGCAAGGCCTGCTGGGATACGAGCCCGGCGAGCTACGCGACCTGTCGGACATCGGCGGAGCAAACTAAGGAGGGAGTCAAAGCCAACAGCACGTGCGTGGCCGCGTTTCACCGGGCGCAGCGTGACGGCCGCTGTCGATTGGGAGGGAGGGGGGGGGGGCGGTTACCGTGGGAAACCATACAATTAAATCCATCCGACGTCCAACGAAGCTGAGAGAGTGTTGTGAAGAGGAGCTCAGCTGTGAGCTGGACTAATTGAACATGCACTCACGCGGCGGTGTTCATTCGCGCGCTTTCTTCCATCGAGTCTCCCAAGTGTGCAAAATGGTCAGTTCAAGCCGTCCGTTGGAGCGACTGCGGTTCCGCTATATGCGCCCTATCTTGTCATCCAGCAGGGGAGGGGAGGGCGGGATTCTGCTTCTTTGGATTTCACAATAATTGTTTCAAAAAAAGCTACTTTTTGGGCGGGGGGCAGTCATGCGAGCAAGTGCGCCGTGATCTTTGAGGCGTTTGTTTTTACGTTTCTGGACCGCGCTCAATTTCATCCGGAGGTTGAGCTACATTGTGTTTGTTTACAGAACAGGCATGTGTCTGCTTGAAGTGATACTCTATGCATACTGCATGAAATCAGAAGCCGATTTAATTTTACAAATCAGTGAACAGGGTGTCGCTCAGCGAGTATGTGCGGATTACTTCCGCCACTTCCCCAAATGGAAGAGGGGGACGGCGGGGATCTTTGTCCTCATGAGCAAGTGTGAAGTGCGCATTGAGCATAAAAATTCCCAATATTTGGCGTCACCGTCAACACAAAGTGGGTGACCATTTTGGTCCATGAACGCCCCCGGGGTGAAAGTAAAACGCGTCAATAGAAGGTAACAGTGTCTCAGTGTTCAGTGAACGGTGCCTTCACGGTTCAGGTGTCCTCCAAAAAGCCAGTAAAGTGCTGTTGCGTGTATCGTATCACCCACCCGTTTGAGAAGACATCCATGTTTATTAATGCGGCGTAGTCATCTAAAATGTAAGTGAAAGGGATCTTTTTTCCAGGGAGAAACACACACACACACACGCACACAAAAAATGGAAATGCTCACTCTTCTATTTTTTTTTTTTTGAATGCCCACTCCAAGGGAGAGTCTTATCTAGGACTCATGACTTATGAGTTAAAAATGTGTTTTCTCTGAGAACTCTCATGCGAGACAATGTTCATATCAATCGTTGCTTTTGATAACAGCAATTTTTTTTTTTTAATATCTATGGCAGAGCTGCCAAAACAGACACCTCCAATTTCATCACGGACTCTTGATTAGCTCATTGAGAATTCTTAGCCTATGGTTTTGTATATTTTTGCGATATTGCATTTACGATCATTTTTTTTCATGATGCCTAAAAGCTTTTTTTTTCCCATAAGGACTCAAGTGGTGCCAGTGTGCCAAATTCTTGGCGATGTAACCTGCATAACAGACAGCTGTGATGTCATCAATATCCCCTCAGATTGCTGAGGAGAAATCAATTAAGTTCCCTGAATGACCGATCAAAGTATACATATAGCATTATGTGCAATTTCAAATCACGGTCTGGGGCTGCACGCACTGTCAAATAAAGACAAAACATTGTTGCTTGAAAAAGTGTAACACGGGAAAGCAAGAACGGCTGTCCCTTTTATTGCCGGCAACATTTTCAAATGCATTCTCACGGTCCCTGTGGGAACTGTAACAGCACTTGCGTGTTCCTCAGTGTGATGACCACACAATGCAAAAGGTGCAGTGTTATTTCGACTTTTGTTTCTCCCACTGTTCTGGCGTTAGGGTCTTCTGTTCGAACGCATGGATGTCTTTCAGCTCCTCCGCTAAGCAGGTGTTCACCATCCTAAAAATGCCACACCCTTTGATCATGTTATATGTCATATCAAAAGCATTGCCATTCTGGAATTTGATTTCAGTGTCCACTGCGTACCTGTGTCTCTGTAAGAGGGGCTTGCCCTCAAACTGGGAAGAGACCACAAGCACTTTGAAGCTGGCGGCACATCTGTTGGCGGACGTGTCCTCCACGTCCTACACAACACAAATGACGGAGCATACTAATATTGACTGCAAATGTTCCAAAGTGAACGAGTGTAAGACACCTACCACATATTCCGCCGCAAGCTCTGTTCTAAGTTTATCCCGGATGTGATCGGATGTTAAGGCCATGCCTGCAACAGCAGAAAACAGGTGATGGTTTATGTGTTTTCACCAAGACTACCTTGTGCATAAATGTGATAATCGAAGGCGTGTCTCGTAAATTAAACTGCAACCGAAAGTAACGTTAGTTTAAATCCAAATTTAAGGCTGCCATCGTCATATCAAACACAAATTCACAAAATTAAGAGGATCAAATGCATTCCGCACTACAACAAATCAAAAATACAGTACATACTTGAAACATTGTAGATCGACTTCCTGCTATTTTCAGTTTCACTAACAGTGGTCCTGCGAAAGATCCAATCACATTGCACGGTCATAAGCAGAGCCAATCAGATGCTCTGGAAAAATCCGGCGAGCGTTACTCGGCGCGAGTCCTTGAACGCCTGACTTGAAACATTCCTTTCTCTCGTGGAGAAAAAAAAACAAAAATACAGTACATACTTGAAACATTGTAGATCGACTTCCTGCTATTTTCAGTTTCACTAACAGTGGTCCTGCGAAAGATCCAATCACATTGCACGGTCATAAGCAGAGCCAATCAGATGCTCTGGAAAAATCCGGCGAGCGTTACTCGGCGCGAGTCCTTGAACGCCTGACTTGAAACATTCCTTTCTCTCGTGGAGAAAAAAAAACATCCAACATTTTTCTTTTAGACATATGCCATATACAAAACAAACATAATATAAGATTACATATAGATTAGTTTATGTTCGCATCATAGTAAAGGAAGTTTTTTGTTAGGAACAGGCAATATTTCTTGACTACTAACACGTTTTTAAAAATCTTGAGGTGAGGCAGCGATATCTAAAAATGCTTTTCATTTATTGCACGTGTTTATTTGGGTAAAATCAAATGTATAAATGTATGTACTAAACGCTGGAAATGTTTTTTTTTTGCTTACGAGCTGAGGGGTTGATTTATTTCAGTTTCGAAACATGAGGTCCTTTGAAAGATCCAATCAAAGACGGGGATCGCATTAACAGCCAATCAAATCCTCTGTAAAATCGCGAGCGTGTGGTGGTCGATTTTCAAAGTAGCAAATTGTTCAGTGCCTGAATGAAAGTACTTCTTCTCAAATAAGTAAAAATATGTATTCTTTTCATTTGAGAGTCATAATACATATAAATATATCATTTTAGTTATGTATTTCAACTTTTTCCTTGACAACACAACAGCGAGGAAGATTTTTATGCCATTCAAAACAGGCAATAGACTTTGACTCCTCAAGAGTACTTGTGAATCGGACCAAATATTTGAACGGTCGACGATGGAATATTGTCAGCGTTTCATTTGAAAATATCAAAACAAGACGAATGTTTCTTCGTGACATTGAGACAAATTGAGCCGTGTTTCGTGTTTTGTGTTAGCCCGTCCAATGGCGCAGGAGGTGGAGAACTTCTTTGGCGTATACATGCTGTACTGCCTCAACCCCAAGTTTAAAGGGCGAATCTACATCGGCTTCACGGTGGATCCTGAACGCAGGCTGAGGCAACATAATGCCGGGCGCCACAAAGGAGGGGCCAAGAGAACCAGCGGCAGAGGACCATGGTACGCAATTGCACAACTCTCGACTTCGACCTCGACCCTCGTTGCCTTTCACGAGTATGTTCCGCACATGAACACGTCGCTTCTGTTGCAGGGAGATGGTCCTCATCATACATGGCTTCCCCTCTGACATCGCTGCCTTGACAGTAAGTGAACACGGGAGTCGGGGGGTCAGTTTGGTCAAATTTTCCCTCTTTCTTTCGTCAAATAATACATCCTAAAATAAAATGAATGTCATGAAATCAATGAATAAACCAATTGTGTAATGCATTCTAATTGTTCATGCATCATTTTTTAACGTACAGTGTTTTGTTCAAATGCTAATTTATCTTACTGCTATAACCACATACCTCGTGCTCATTTTTAAATGTTATTTACAAATGAGTATATATTATATACAGTATCGGTAAGAATATATTGACTTGACAAAATTGCCTTTCTATTCATTTTAATAGAACTCATGCTCACTTTTGAATACTCACGATTAACCAGTTAGCGATAATTAACCAGTAATTTAAATAAACGTAATTAAATAAATTTTACGAAAATATTTTACCAATAATGTATTTCTTATAAAAGGCTTTATTTCAATGACAAAGTCAGAAACTCATAATGACAAAGAAGAAATCATGCTCCTTCATTTTGAAAAGATGAATTGCAGTTTTACAATAGCATTTGCTTGACGGAGAGGAAAGTCCACACTATTTCTGGAGGTGAGCAGGATGTTCGAATGTTATATTTGGCTAATGTTTTAATGTTAAAAAAAAAAACAAACACATAAAATAGGTATAGATTTAGATAATTTTTATATTTTCCGATGAAATTGTCCAATTGGTCGGGACTGTCGCTTATATTCCTCGTTACGAGCTTGGATTCCATCTACGTATGCAAACCATGGAAGAAAAAGGACATCCCAATTTGCAGCAGTTGATAAAAAGGCTTTCTTGTGTCTTGTCAGTTTGAGTGGGCATGGCAGAACCCGCACTCCTCCCGGCGCCTCGCCCACGTCTGCCGGCGCGGCAGGAAGGAGTCCGGCCTGCAGTTCCACTGGCGCGTGGTCTCCAACATGCTGCGCGTGGCCCCCTGGAGCAGGCTGCCACTGACGGCTCGCTGGCTGAAGCGAGAGTACAAGGTGGACTTTGAGCCCGCTCTTCGGCCCCCGCCGCACGTCTCCCTCGCCTTCGGGGCCGTCAGGGCCAAGAAGCAGCGGCCGGTAGACACGTGTGAAGACCGGGAGGAGACTTGCAGGTGTTTTCTCTGCAATGGCCCCCTCATGGTAAGTTACTGAACCTGGTCCAGAACTTGTCATTTGCTAACCGCTCTCTTCGGGCTTGCCTTTCAGATAAAATATTTCCACCGGTCGAGCACGCTAAGAGAATGTGAAACACTTATAAGCTATTGTTATATGTGTCCCAAAACATAATAAAAACGAATGATAATAATAATTTTTAAAAAAGCCAATCGATGCTCTCCTTGGTTGAGCGCAATTGATGTCTGCAACTGGAGACGGTGGGCTTGCCGATTAATCAGCCGGCGCTGTGCACCCCCCCGTAGACTTGGGAAAAGCTGCGTTGCGTCCACGCGTCGTGCGGAATGCGCAGCCACGTGATCTGCCTGGCCAAGCGCTTCCTGCGGCCCGAGCCCTCCCACCTCCTGCCCGTCGGGGGTCGGTGTCCCGCCTGCCACCGCGACGTGCTGTGGGGGAATCTCATCCGCGTCAAGCAAGGCTGCGCCGGAGACGCGTGACACTTGACTTCGTTGGCCTCCCAAGTAAGCTATCCCGCCTTTGATTGATGGCGTCTTTTTAAATGGGTGGATTTTTTTTTTTCTTGAGACTTCGGCATCAATGCCGCGTGTCTAACATGTCCACTATGGTGAACGCATGTTCCATCCGTGACTGTGTTCAGTCATTTCACCACTGAACAGGAATCGAGCAGCTTCGCCCGAGGCCAGTGACTCATTTGAGCTTTGCGCCTTCCACAGGATGACGGGACAAGAAAGAAGTCGTTGACCCGGTCACCTTTTTCAACCCTCAAATAATCCTGTTGCATCATTTTTATAGCGCTCTGATCATGAACTGGCCCGAACCACCACGTTTATTTATCCGTTTTTTATAAGGCTATTTATAACACCGCAAAAACGAGTTTTAATTAAACGGTATTTGAAATGGAGTGCGGCTTTAAAGCCCCAACGGGTAGTCCAGGGGTGCCCAACCCCAAAATTGTACATGAAACACAGTTTGACAAAGAGGAATAAAAGTCCAAAAAGACAACATGGCAACAAGCTCTGATCGCAAGTGGCCGACCGCTAACGACTTGCGGAGATGCTTATATGCGCGCCACCATAAGCTAAAGGTGACTTGCTTTTTAATTGTATTTTTTTCAACATATAGGCATGTTTTTTGTGAGAGTGAAACTGATAAGATGCTTCAACAAAAATACAGGATATTAGTAACACGCACATCTTTTTTTTTTCTCTCGATTTCTCCCGACGCCACCGGCGATCGATTCGGGACCAGTCCGCGCAGGCTACCGCTCCGTCGACGTACTGGGCACCCCTGATGTCGTCAATCCACTTGACTGGAGACATTGAAAGGGCACGCGAACCCTTCACGGTTTCACCAAATGTTTGGGAAAGAAATTTACGATTCCACTTCCCGTCATCAATTTAAATGGACGGACGGTACACAGGGGCTGACTTTGAATCACAATCCTAAGCCTCCGTTGCGTGGACAAAGTGCAGATGGAAACCAGAACGCACAAGATCGGGACTCGTCACCAGTGAGGGGATCTCATCCTGCGGCGGCCGGGGATCCGCTCAGCTCATGACAAACAAGCGAATGAACAGAAAAGGCACGGAAGAAGAAACACGGAGGAAAAGTCACGACGGGATCCAATTGGGCTCACGGCTGGGCAGGTGGCGACGTCTCCATCGTGATCACCGGCTGCGTGAAACAACAAGCCCGCCCGGGTAAGTTTCGAGCCGATTGACCTTCTCGGCGGCGCCCCGCCGGGCTTTAGAGCTTTTATTTCCCCTCCATTGAACGCTGTTGCCGTGGCGACGCGTCCTTCGCCAATACGTCTTTATTTATATGGCGCTTTTGCAACTGCAACAAAGCACTGAGGTTTAGCAACAGGAGCCATGGCATAAAACATGGACAAGAATTCAAATGGAACAAGAAAAATGGCGCTGCCGTTACTCCGTTTCGGCGCGTATCCAGCAGGCGGCGTAGGAGGGCTTTTCCTCCAGCCACGCACCTGCTGGTCATCAGAATCATCCAAGTATATCAGGACTGCCAAGCCGTCGCGCCTTTGTCGGGTTATTCGCCTCGCAAACGACTCTGTCGCCGTGTGGTGAATCCTTTGAGATGTCACATTTGAGCAATATTTGGCCACCAAACGCAGTAGCTATGACGGGCTATACGGGAATGTTAACTGCAATAGAATTTTTTTCCATCCCCCCATGTCATGTCTGGGGTTCCGTTAGACGTAAGATCAGGGCGGTGTAAAAAGAAAGAAAAAAAAAAACAAACGTGTGGTTTGCAAGCAACTGTTATGACCCCAACATGGGCTGATGAAACTTGGAACTCACTTCGATGGCGTGGCACATCAGAGCCGCAGTGCTATTTTCACCCTGATCGTAGTGCCAGCAACGTGGATAATAGGTCTCGATGTCTATCACGAGCCAGATCACGTTGAAGAAGCAGGCAGCGCTGGAAAAAATCTGCACCCCCAAAGTGGACCTCAGCTAACGCACACACACACACACATAGACACAGCCGCTCAAATCACCGCATCGCGTGACGTGCAGAGAGAGGACACGCGCCTGAGTGTTGGCCCACTCACCGTCGGCAGGTGGAGGTTCTTTGCGGCTATTGCGACGCCGCCGGCGATCAGCACCTGTCATGACAACCACACAAGCAAGTTCAGGGAGACTGTGCTTTGCGTTCCACCGCCGTTTGTCACGAAGCTTGTTAACGCTCTAGTAAAGTGACAAAACTTCACTCTATGAGTCTCTATGAAAACCACCCGGAGGCCATAAATATCGTCTACTGACAATAAGTAAAAATGGCGGTAATGGAGTGCTTTTTGGGACTGCGTCATGACAAATTGTTCTGCTGGACTGAGCCCACAAACGCAGTCGTCAAGCCATTCATGAAGGACATGTTAAGATGAGAAAAAATAACGAGACAGAGAGAGATCGGGACCGCAGTTGGGATTTTCTTTTATTTTGAAATGTTTTATTTGCACTCTCATTTCCTGTTTAGCAGCAAAGGGGTCACTTGACATCTTAAATCCGACCTGTTTGTCATATCAAACGCAATTTTTTAAATTTTTTTTACATCGGCAGCCCCTCCCAAATGGCAAAAGGTGTGTTTTGTGAATCAATTTTATATCTGTCTGCATTTACATTTGTAAATATTTATTGGAGAATGTTAACTATGTTCGCTAATTATCCGAATGAAATCTGTTTCAGCTCTTTCGGAGTATGTTGCTCACAAATAAACGACAGAATCATCAGTAAAGTAAAGTATCCTTTTTCGGGAGGGCCACGCTACACTGCGCAATAAATGTAACTTATGGAAAAACTGCAACTAGTGGTAACCGTTTCTTTTTGTGCCATGTCATGACATGGCGCAAAAAAAGTTCGGCTCGCCTTACTGATGCTAAAGCAAAATTTTATCCGTCCATTGTTCGAACCGCTTTTTCCTCACGAGGGTCGCGTTGAGTGTTGGAGCCTATCCCAGCGAACTCCTTTGCATGTTTTTGGAATGTGGGAGTAAACCCGGAGTACCCGCACAGGTACTGGGCGAAGATCCAAACTCCACACAGGAAGACCGATTAGCACCTCTGCACTGTGGGGCGGAGGTGCTAATCGGTCCCTACCATGTCACCCAAACGCAACAGTGAACTCATGAGATGAAACATATGGATGGAAAGAAAAACACAAAAGGCAGCGGAAACTAGCCTTGCAACAATGTGTTATTTTGTCATAGTTTACCACAAATTGACATGCATCTAAATTATAATTGCAGTCACGTGTGAAAAAAACCCGATAGGCTATAAATATAACATAATGAAGTGAAAAACAATAAGATGGAGGTAAGTTTTTTTTTTTTTTTTGTACCATGCGATGAGGTATTTTTACACCTGGCTATAGGCTATCGCTAATCCAGTTGTAAAGTCATAATTACAGTAAATTGTATGGAAAACAGTTCGGGGTGTAAAGATGAATTAATTAAAACAAAAACTAAGTCTGGAAGTGACTGTGTGCCTTTTTGTACGTTGTAATGGCATATTATTACAGTGGGCCACGTCATAGCTAATTGCTAACCTATGCTAATGCAGTTGGAATTTGTACGAAAAAACACTCATGTGCCATTACAAAAACAAGTAGCAAAATGCCCTGTTATGTTTTTTCTGCAGTTGATTACAAATTTACACAAAATTATAAGTACAGAAAATATCTGTTTGGAAAAAAAGGACAAAAATCTGAAAACAAAAAGTGAAAAAAAGGGCGGGATTTTTGGATGCCCTGCAAGTGTTTTTGCTTACCAGAACGGATGCCACGATGAAAGGGATGATATTCTCACCGTAACGGTGCTTGGCTGGAAATATACTCACACACGAAATCAGATGCACGCTCAGGAGAATCTGGGTGATCTGTGATCAAGATAGAAACGGTGACTTTCAAAATCAAACAAAGCGAGTGTGATTTGGTTGTTTTTGCACGAGCCCGGTCGGACCCCGAGAGCTTTGGGCTCGGCCTCCAGGTACTTCTGCTTCCTGTTGGCATCGCGCTGGAACGTGACGGTCACCAGCGGGTTTTCGGTGCCGGACTCCGACGCAACAGCTTCTTCTAGAACAAGGCAAAGGAACAGTTGCGAGCTGCCGACGGTGTTGCAATCGCCCCAAAACTCTGCTGAACATCTGGATTTCATCAAGCCAGAGTCTCGACGCCTTTCGACTCCACACGGTAAATTTCTCGAGTCGAAAGCGGTTAAGAAGAGAGTTTTACCTGCCCTGATCACTCCCAAGTTCCCGTTAGGGGCGCGACCATCCCGCTGCCTGCCGGGAAAGGTAGTTTGCAACGGCCGTCACTACCAAATACTCACAGCAGAGGGCAGCAGAGTTAAGACGAAAGAATTCGTCGGGAGCATCAACATTGACGTCATTTACATCAACTCCGGGAGAGTCATTTCAGGGTTGGAGGACGGGTTTAGGAACCATAAAAATGGACTAATTTAGAAATTTGAATGCTTAAAAAAAACACGTCATAAGTCACACACCATTTGCTTCAGACATTTAAAAAACAACAGTATGCCATTTCAATGAGGTTTGTCATGTCACATATTTTGCTGTGGAAAAACAAATGTAGAAAATACTGTTGATGTGTGTGTTTGTGTGTGTGTGTGTGTGTGTGTATATATACGTGTATATATACACACGTACATACATACATACACTCTATCGGTTGTACGTGTGCATACAAGAACTCAAAAGTATTTTTTTTTTTGTGTTGAGCCGAGCGGGCCTTATCTTTTTTTTGTGACCTTGCATTCCAGGCTCTGTCGCATCGAATGCGGCCGGGGGCGGGATGGGGTGTGGAGATCAAGCCCGCACACGCCGAGGCAACGCCTCACGCTTCGCCCTCACCTTCGCGCCCGGAACCAGGAAGCTCGCGTGTCCGCTTTTTGTTCCGCATTGGGCGGGGTGGGGTTTGCTCTTCAGTCACCTGTTGGGCCGAACAAGCGGAGGTTTTGAACGTGCGCGGAGGGGCGTGGCGCGCCTCATTCCACCCAAGGAAAAAGCTCGGGCTCGGTCTTTGCGGGCAACTTGGCGCGGTCAAGTCCTCGCGTTGCGTGCGCAGGTGAGTGCGAGTGCCAAGGTGTCGTCCGCGTGCGTCCAACGCGTTCGTTCGACCAGGAAGATTCCGCTACCGAATGCGATCGCTCGCGTCATAGACACGCCCCTTCTCGACTGCTTTCGACGCTTCATTGCGCTCGTGTTTTGATCTCAATTCACCTCTCCCGCGGGCTCTCTGCAGATGTGGCCGAAGTGCTCGCACTCCCGACTGAAGTAGAAGTGAAAATACTTGTGTCAACAAAGTAGAAGAACAGAGTCCGAGAAGAGATTTTGAAATGTGCTTGAGTCCAAAAGTAATCAATCATGTTCGGATAGGGTCTGTTTCCAAACAGTAAAAAGTCCTTGGGGGGGGGATAAATCCTTCGCAAGCTACTTCGGCGCAGTCACAAAGTGTTTGTGCTCTTTCTGAAGCACCCTCTGCCACCAGGTGCTCTCGTGTCGCTGTCAATAGTTGAAGAAAGTCGGTTCCAAGTGAGTCTGGCTCCAGTTAGGCCTGGGTTGTTAGTGGAAATTAGAAAGAGTCGAATCGAATCACCTGGAAGCCACCAGAGTTTGAAATGCTCTTGAACTGTTTTAAGATGATAGTTGGCGGTCCGTGAACAGTTGAGATTTTTACTCGAGACCGTTTCTCCTGCTGCCACAGTCTGCCTCACTCTGTGCTCCGTGCGCACGCTCGGCGTCGCACTCCAAATCTGCATGCGGGAAAGGAGAAGTGGCGCTTCTGCTGTCGCCGGTGTGCAACTCAAAAGAGAAGAAGTGGCCGCGGCGACGAGGTCACGCGCTACCTTGTGCGAGCGCGAGGGGACGCGCCGTTGAACCTCGAAACAAACGGCGAGAAAGCTCCGGGGAACGCGCAAGGTCTCGTGGTTGCGTCAATTCCAAGCGGAACGTAAGGCCCGAGCGCCGGCGCGCGACGAGGACGGCGGGCCGAATTGCCTCAGAGCCGTTTCCTGCCGTTTCATCGGGCCGTGTCGCAAACGCACCTCACGTCGCTCGCGGCTGTCTCGCCTGAGCAAATGCCACTCGTGCGGTGACTCCGCCGTGTTGTTTTGTCTTCAGTGCAAAGGCTTTCTCAAGTCCCTCGCCGGATGTTGGCCTCCAACATCACGTTGGAAGCGCCGGAGCCAAGCCGGGGGGAGCTGGAGCCTTGGCTCCTCAGCCTCCACCTCTCCCAGTACGCGTCGTGTTTCCATCAGGGCGGCTACCGATCTCTGCAGGACTGCGCCGACCTCACAGATGAGCGCCTGCGAGAGATCAAGGTGCTCCCGACTGGGCACCGCAGGCGCATCCTGCGTGCTTTGGAGGTGCTGGGTGTCACCGAGAAGCAACGTCGGCGAGAAGAAGGCCCGAGAAAGAGCCTCCTGGCGAAGGGTCCGAAAAAAGCGGGCTCCTGTGAGCAGTACCGCCCACAAGAACGGCAGCAGGCGCCATTGGAAGGGAGTCGGACCTTGCCTGCGAGAGCGCAGCCGCAAGACTCCGGCCTGCCGCCGCCAGCCAGCGTGTCCCTGTTGGACGATCGCCCTGCTTCCTCCTCCTCCTCCTCCTCTTCGTCCAGCAGCACGGAGTCACTGCCGACCTCTGAAAACCCAACCCACTGGGAGATCGGCCCAGAAGACGCCACTTTTCGACCTTCCCCTCCTGATGTCCCGACCCCGAGCGAGGATGAAGCATCGTCCTCCGGGTGCGGCATGGTGGACAACGCCATCTACAACGCTCAGCCCACTGGCGCGCTCGCCAGAGGTCCACGACTGACTCGCTCTTACCGGCTGAGGCACAGACCGGTGCCCGACATCCCACGGCATGACAGGTAATGTGTTGTTTCAGCAGACGTCTCGACTCTCATCCGAGGCAGCTTCATCGCTTCCCGGTTCCCGCCCGGTCCCGGGAGCGTGTGAACGGATGAAGCCCGATCCGATGAGAGGCGAAACCGCTTCGAAGACAATCGCAACGGCCGAGTTCGCGGTTCTAGCGAGGAGCGGACGCGTCGACTGTACGACTGCGCGATGACGATTCGCGCTTGAAGTTGATCGATCGCCGATCTCGTGCTTTGGCGTGAACAAAACGCCGACGGCAAATTTTTTTGCTCAAGGTGACAAACTTCTCCCAAAGTTAATTTCTGTGACGGTCCCGGTACTCTTACGCAAGTACGGATTTCAGGTACTTTGTGCAAGACCGCCGGCGCGTCTTGGGTGGCGAGCGCCGCCGCACTTTTTGAAAGTCCTCTCACTCTCAGAGTTGTTTTCATGGCGGTTGTCGGTGCTCTTCCTCTCTCAGGCGCTCACCGGCGGCGCAAACAAGCGGGCCCCAACACCCGGCCGTCTGCGGGGGTCCCGGCGGTGCGAACGGCACACAGAAAGGTACGCGCCGTCTTGCAGCCGCGTTGGCTCGCCACGTGCCATGAATATTTCATACGCCGCCCGAGTCGGCGGCGCTGTTGTTTGCCCGCATGAAAGAACGCGAGCGGGGAGGCTGGGGCGCAGTCTGCCGTTTGGCGGCTGTGTCGCGGGAAGCGCCGACGCACATCTCGGGGAATATCGTCTCTCATATCTTGTCCCCCTCCAACTAGTGAGACCTGAGTCTGGATTGCTTTCCGGCAGCTTTGAAGAACTTTTTTTTCCTTTTTTCTTTTTTTTTGGGAGGGTCTGGGGGTGGATATATTATTATTATTATTTTTTTTTGGTCCTCTTCGAGATGACGAGTTGAGAAAGTAGGATTTCCACTAATGGTGGAGTTATTGCAACGGGAGATGGTGGCTTGTTGGAGCCGAACACTACCGGGCAGCTTGTTTGTGTTAAAGTCAAACGTGTCGTGTCCGTCCTCTCCGGGCACTTGCACTGAATCAGGCTTGAAGTCGTTGGGGATTTTTCATGACAGTTTGTTTTTGTTTTGACTTTTTTTTTTTTTTTTTTAATTCTGTTCGGTTTAATTAGTTATTGGAGAAGTTTTTTTTTCATTTTTTGGTTTTAGTTTTTATTAGTTTTAGTATTAGTTTTATTTTCTCAAAGTGTACAGAGTGTTTGTCAATTGCAAGATGAAAAAAAAAAAATCCCAAAGTAGTGTGTAGTAAAGATAGGCAATTTGCAATCCTAAAGCACTGTTTGACCGTATCAGCAACATCGAAATAAATCCATTTCAAATGAACCCCAAGAGCTCATGGACGATATAATTGAAAAAAACAAAAAACTAAGGGCATTGTCGCTTTGATTATATTCGTCTATATATTCGTCTTAGATTTAGACACGCAAAATGTCGTTTCAGTTTTTAATTTTTTTTTTTCAAAAAGCATTTTCGCTTTTGTTTGATGACGTGAACGTCCCCACGATTACTTTTCATTAACTGGAAGAGCCTCGATACTGATTCGGGCCTGTCGGTAGGCCTACTTTTCCCTCTTTGAATGGAACACGAAAGGCACTTGGAGAAGAAGTGAGGAAGCTTTGGGAGGGATGAAGACGAGACGGATGCAAAACAGGCTCAGATGACGGTAAAACGGGAGCTCCAGATGTTCCCAGTGCTGGGAACCGCAAATTCACCTCCCCGAGCTGATGTATTCAGTCACATGTTTCCGATATCTCTCATATATATATATATATATATATATAAAATAACAAAACATGTTACGTTTTTTTGTCCCACCGTTACTTTTCATTATTTGAGGTATCGCTGTGCAGCCATACGGAAGAAAGTAGGTCGAACAGTCATTTGGGAATTATAATTGACTTTACTGCACAGTAATTTATGACCTATTTTTTTTTTTCCCCCTTGCACTCCGCAAACACCTCATGTGTAAAAAAAAAAAAAAAAAAAAAAAAAAAAAAACAACAAAATAACAATCTAATACTTAAACTGATTTAAAAAAGGAAAATAAAGCATTTAAAAAAACAACTAAGCATCGGCGCCATGCGCGCAGCATGTATGTCAGTCGCGAAGCCGTGCTGGATAGACGACGGTCGGAAGTATTTCCAGCCCTGAACGCAAACAAATCACCTTCACGTGAGGCTCATCAAAATGAGCAGCGCGCGTAATGGCGCAAATAACACGCTCGTATCAACGGGTACGACATCACGCAGTGGCAATCAAATCCGCGCACCCGCACGCCAGCACTTGCCTGCGCTCTGTTCATGTCGGAAACGCGTGACAGCTGTCCGCTGAATTTGCCAAGATGCGCCGATTAGAGGTCACTTAGTGGGCGATGATTCTTGCTCCCGTGACCATCTCAGCCCAGAGCGCCCCCAAGAGGACCACCGGTGAACGTTATAGAAGCATCTGGGCGGGAGCTTTGTCACCGTAGCACGCGGCGGCGGGCTCTCACCGAGCTCAACTGCCGAATGATGATCGATGCTGAGCGTACGCCGCGATCGGCGCAATTGACCCCTGGCTAAGGCCGCGACGTGGTCCCGCATGGAGTCGCGCCTTTGCCAAC